TGTCTTCTGAAATACGAAATGTGCTGTGATTGGTTAGCTGGGCCAGTGTGTGCTGTGATTGGCACCACTCGGCGCCTCGTCGGGAGGTATGTCATGCCCCTTACCATAGCCGCCTGCTGCGAGCTTCAGTGTAAATATTGCGTCAAAATCAATTTGAGCGCGATTTAAACCCGGGTGATTGTAACCACTTTAAGTTCGTCTGCCTTGGGAAATCTAGCGTGTCTCCGACATAGTGATAACACTCATTGCCTTCTCTAGTGCAGCTCAACCAGGTCTCATCCCATTCGTCAGTATTTGTGATATCACAAACCCCAGAAAATATGCATTGTAGTCCAAACGAGTCGTTCGTTGTAGTTTTTGAAAAGTTATTTCTGTTAAATAAAATATCTCCTTTTGAAGTGGACTTTGAGCTTTGTAACTTTGCAGATCTTTTTTATGCTCAAACAGCAACATTACAGACTAACTAAAGTTGAAAAAGTGAAAAAGCATAATAGGACCCCTTTAATAATGAGACAGCAGCAGGTAAATAAGGCTGCTGTCCCTTTAAGACCAATCCAATATACTGAAACACATCCGGTTTTCAACCAACTGTTTACATTTAACACATAACCGACTGTGTTTACGGGAATACTCCACACGACGGGCATTATGACATAACTGTGCGCATTTGACCATTCAAGCACAATAAAACAGGAACGAGATCTGCTTTTGCGATCGCATGCTGTCTGAGGGGCTTTCAGTGCGCGCGCTTCGGCTGACAGTCAGTGTGAGCACCGCATTCAGTTCTTTTTCCGTTGCATATTGCACTTAACTCGATCAAGTGCGTTACTATTTTCTAATAAATCATGCATGTTTCCTTATCACTCAAAGGTGAATATAACGTTTAAGCAGTATGCTACGCAGATATATTTGCATACCGCGGAAAATACGATATAGCAAAATCTCTAACGATAGACACTTTATTCCGCGGTAACGCTATATACCGTCATACCGCCCAGCCCTTGTTAAGCCACAACAGTCATTAAACAAAGCATTTATACTAAAAGTTTCTTTATTGCGAGAAATAGAAGAAAACAGCAAAAAACGAACAAAGAACAAGTCTTCATATACAGGAGAGTTTGAACAGAGAAATTTAGCTGAGGGAGTCATCACACCCAACTGTAAAATTGTTGACTTTACCACAAAGGCCTAATGCATCAGCCACAGACAGATAAAAGCTAGTCTAAATTTTCAGACATCATAGAAAGATATAAAACAAGAAATAGTAAAACACATTAAGAGAATCATGTAGAATTAAGTCAATGTAACAGTGCGTTACGCATTTACATGCAGAAACGATCTGAAAAGTTTGGAGATTGGGGCACTGTGAGAGACACTTCACTCTTTTTCAACTCCATTGGCTTGTAGCGTCTGATCGGCTGGGCCTTGCACACCTTTTGAAAAGGAAAGGACAGCATTAGTTACAATATAAATCAGCCAATTAATTTTCACTGAAGTGATGAAATATAAAATAATAACTTATTTTAAGCAGATAAATATTTTAGACTACTTGATCCTAATTTTCACAACTTTACAGGCCTGGGAGGATAAGCAACATCATTCTGAAATCTCTTACCTGTTCCTGCCGTAGCCTTACAGTCTCCTCCTTTTCCTGCTCCTCTTGTTCTCTGGCCTGCTCCTCTTCCATACGAGCCCTCAGTGCCTCCTTCTCACTCAACTCCTTTTCAAAATCCATTCGTTCCTTGGCTCTCCGTTCTGTGGCCAACTGGAAGGCCTCTGGAACTGCAGAATTAGTAGAATTGGCTTAAGAAAGTGCCAAAGGTGAATAAAGAGGACCAGATGAAGTGGTCACGTAGAGGTGAGAGCAGTGAGGACAGCGGTGAAAATTGGAAAAAAAGCGAGAGTTGGTGTTGGAGTTAGCTGTGCACTTCAACATAAAACTCACACAAAGCCAGCAAGCCCAAGGAAGTTCAAACTGGATACAGTACAACATGTGTAGTGCAACACTAATTGGAAAGATTACAAAAACCACCTGCAACAACATACCCAAGATGGAGCGATTCTCCTTTTTCGGTACAAATGGTTCTTTGTGCATTACATTGTTTGGTCGTGCCTTAAAACATGCGGCTTCAGCCTGTCGTTTCAACTCCTCTTTCATCTGGAGAAACATTTTAAATGGAATGTACCAGTTACAACAGAGATTGTAAACAATGTCACAAATGCAGAGACACAGATTTAAAAGTGAGTTCCACTGGCTAACTAGTTGCAAGTATGCAAACACAAATGCTAAGCCAGCACACTGGACATGTGTGGTCCAGTAGAACGTAATTTTAAATACAGATGATCCATGGAAGATGAAGAGGAAAGGCTCAGATGAAGATCTTACCATCTGCTCCCAGCGGTCACCCTTTGCCGCTCCTCGTTCGTCAACCATCAGCTTGAAAGGAGCAGGTTTGGTGGGCTCTACTACCTTTTTCTCAGGGAGGTGCACTTCATGGAAGTCAGGAAGGGGTTGGGCCTTGAACTTGGGTAGCTGTGAGATTTGGTGAGACAGTCCATTTAGGCACCATTATGAAATGAAGATCAATAAGACTTTCAGCTACTCCATAAAGAAAATACCTCTTCATTTCTCATTTCATCCAGTTTCTTCTCCTTCATGACCCTTCGTTCATGCTCCCGTTCCTCAAATGAGAAAGGGCACATTTCTACCTGGCTCTTGACTGGCAGTTTGGGCTGGAAGGGCAGGAAGTGGGGCACAGCATGTGCCTTAATTGGAGCAGGAGGCTTCTCCTGAAGGTGCAATGGAATTAGTTGAGTCAACAAATATCAATTTTATGATATTTTAAATAAAAAAGCACAGGATTAAAACGTACCTCTTTTTTCTTTTCCATTCGCACACGGTTTTTAAGAGCAAATGCAGGTGATTCTGGAACAGTTGGATTTAGAACTTTCTTCTCTGGGACACCCTTTACAGTGGAAAAAAAAAGAAAAAAAAAGGGAACAATGGAATTATAAAAAGGACGTCACCACCTTGGCTAAACAAACCCAAAAAATGGGTTGAGAGAACTGTTACCAACCACAACTTCCTCCAGAATTCGAGTTGGTAGCAGTCTGGGATGGAATGTGTGGTCCTCTTTTTCCTCAGGCTTCTTACTGGCCTGCCGCTCCTGAAGTCGCTTCTCAATCTCCAGCTGGAAGCCCTCAGGCTTGGTAACTTCTTTACTACCTGGCTTTTTAGGAATCAAAGCCCCTTCTAGAATCTTTCTGTTGAGTTCTAGAGCTTTGAACTTAAACCTGAGATGGCAGAAGGAAAGTTTGAAGAGATTTTCTTGTGCTCAATTAAAATTAAGCATTAACAACACACAAGTCTCAGCAAAACTTACTGCTGCATTTTTTCTGCTTCCTCAGCCTCAA